CTCCTCCCGTGTTCTGGGCCGATCCCTCTACCCAACGAGGCGAGATCTTGCAGGGTGATTGATGCTTATTTTATATTTCTTCCATTTTCTTAAAATTGCACCACCAGTTGTCTCCTTCTCACCAAGCTTCCTGCTGATGGCCTTGGAGCCCAGTCCAGCCCTGTGCAGGTCCACAATGTTGGCCCTGATGTCCTTTAAAAGTTCTTTGGTCTGGCCCTGGGTGGTGGAGTGGTTGGAAAGGAAGAGATTGATTCTGTTGATAGGTGTCTTTTATTCGCTTAACGATCAGTGATTACACCGTATGAAGAGTCTCAAGACTACACAGTACGAAGAGTCTCAAGACTACACCGTATGAAGAGTCTCAAGACTACACAGTACGAAGAGTCTCAAGACTACACAGTACGAAGAGTCTCAAGACTACACCGTATGAAGAGTCTCAAGACTACACAGTACGAAGAGTCTCAAGACTACAACGTATGTAGAGTCTCAAGACTACACCGTATGTAGAGTCTCAAGACTACACCGTACGAAGAGTCTCAAGACTACACCGTATGTAGAGTCTCAAGACTACACCATATGTAGAGTCTCAAGACTACACCGCATGAAGAGTCTCAAGACTACACCGTATGAAGAGTCTCAAGACTACACCGTATGCAGAGTCTCAAGACTACACCGTATGTAGAGTCTCAAGACTACACAGTATGTAGAGTCTCAAGACTACACCGTATGAAGAGTCTCAAGACTACATCATATGAAGAGTCTCAAGATTACACCATATGTAGAGTCTCAAGACTACACCGTATGAAGAGTCTCAAGACTACATCATATGAAGAGTCTCAAGATTACACCATATGAAGAGTCTCAAGTCTACACCATATGAAGAGTCTCAAGTCTACCCCATATGTAGAGTCTCAAGTCTACACAGTATGAAGAGTCTCAAGACTACACAGTATGAAGAGTCTCAAGTCTACACAGTATGAAGAGTCTCAAGATTACACCATATGAAGAGTCTCAAGTCTACACCATATGAAGAGTCTCAAGTCTACCCCATATGTAGAGTCTCAAGTCTACACAGTATGAAGAGTCTCAAGACTACACAGTATGAAGAGTCTCAAGTCTACACCATATGAAGAATCTCAAGACTACACCATATGAAGAGTCTCAAGACTACAGTAGAGTCTCAAGACTACACCATATGTAGAGTCTCAAGACTACACCATATGAAGAGTCTCAAGACTACAGTAGAGTCTCAAGACTACACCATATGTAGAGTCTCAAGACTACACCATATGTAGAGTCTCAAGACTACAGTAGAGTCTCAAGACTACACCATATGTAGAGTCTCAAGACTACACCATATGAAGAGTCTCAAGACTACACCATATGTAGAGTCTCAAGACTACACCATATGTAGAGTCTCAAGACTACACCATATGAAGAGTCTCAAGACTACACCATATGTAGAGTCTCAAGACTACACCATATGTAGAGTCTCAAGACTACACCATATGAAGAGTCTCAAGACTACACCATATGTAGAGTCTCAAGACTACAGTAGAGTCTCAAGACTACACCATATGTAGAGTCTCAAGACTACAGTAGAGTCTCAAGACTACACCATATGTAGAGTCTCAAGATTACACCATAGCGGCTCTGAAGATTGGAGCCAGTATGTCATTATATGTGCTGACATATAGTATAGAAGGAAGTTTGGTAAGGCAAGGCCGCCATTATATGTAAATTAGATTTACCTATTCTGGGGGCAGTGTTTTTAATGTTAGAGTCAGAGCTATCAGGTGTCCAGGTGTAAACAAGGGGTGGGGGGTTGGGGATGCCACAGTCCTGCAGGGCTCTCTGCTGTTTGGTTAGGCCGTGGGGGATGGGTTGTCCAAGTGCCCTCCTTATCTAGATGATGGCATCCTCAACAACACATCTGTTACCCCATCTCCCCTCCCCCCCAACATAGCCCCCCCCCCCCCCCCCTCGCCTTTTACTTCATCTGTCCGCAGAGCATTTTCCACCTGGGATAGGGGTGTGGGTGGTGGGGTGGGGTCATGTTTAGTCGGGTGTTGGGTGTCATGCTCCCTCTTTGTGTGAAGACATCACCTCATCTGTTTTGTCATAACACACCTGTCCACCTTAAAGGGAGGTGTTAGGGGTTAGGGGTCGGGTCACCCCCCCCCCCCAGCAGAACATCTATACATCTTTTTGTTTATCTCTCCTCCTTCATATATATCAGTACAAACATCATTTATGGTATTTCACAGTGAGGCTGGGCTGTGTTCACAAAAAAACAGAAAAAAGTTTATCAATGCACAGAACATTCCCTGTGTTTGTGTGTGAAAATGTATAAGTTAAGTTAAGTTAAGACCAAGCATCAACCTCCAATGTTGAAAAGGAAGCCAATTCAGCAGTCCAAAAAAAACAGTGGTTCCTCCAGTGTCCACTAGAGTCTGTCTCCTGCAGTGAGTCAGTCCCCATAGAGCTCCATGTTAAAATAAACATGTTTACAGCCTGGTACAAAAACAATTTGGGTCTCTAGAGCTCATTTCTCTCTTCAACTGTACGGGTTAAAGGTCAGCTTATTCAGTCGCTGACCTTTAACCTGCTGTTGGAGCCTTTTGGAGATTTATTCATGTAAATATCAGACGTCTTTCTTTCTGAGCTTTATTGGACTAACTGCCGTCTGTTCTCTTTAAATGAGAAACAGGTTGTTGAGCTCTGTTATCTTAGCATTTGCTAACTCCTCCCTCCTCTCTAGTCCCCCCCTCTATGGTCACTTTTGAAAACAAACTTAGCTCAGACAAAGTCCCAAAATGGAGGCTTCAAAAAGGCAGTCGACAGCATTCACTGCTACACTGCCATCGCTGTGACATCACAGCAGCTCCGCTATGATCGCTCCACACCTGGCTCAGGTTGATGGACATGTCTATGTTTGAGATGCCACAGAGACGATCTTTGGTTGTTTGTTGATACAGTTGTCAGTGTGTGTTGGGGGTGTCCCTCCTCTGCAGTGCACCTGTGTGAAGTAGCATCTGTGGGTGGGCGTATCTTTGCTGTCAGAGGAACATTCCAGAGGAGAAGTCACCCTGTTAATCCCCTGAGTTTAGACCCCACAGATCCCCCTTTCCCCCCCTGTTTCCCCCATCCTCACCCCTCCGATCTGTCAAAGGTAGACCCTGTGAGGGGAGATTAAAGCCTTCCCCCCCCCCACCTATAATCCCCTCAAATATTCCAGAGAGAAAGAAATTATTGTAACGTCCTTCTGTGATCTGCACACACAGAGACCGTCTGGTCCTACTGCACAAATTCTGCAATATTGTGTGTGTGCATCAGTGTCTCTATCAGGGGAATGTTTAGATAAATTAGTCAAGTTGCACCTGACACCTAAAAACTGTTTATAAGACTCTCAGGCGAGCAGAACAACACCTGACAGAGCTCAGCTCAGTGTGTGTGTATGTGTGTGTGTGTGTGCGTGCGTGTGTGAGTGTGTGCGTGCATGCGTGCGTGTGTGAGTGTGTGCGTGCATGCGTGCGTGTGTGTGTGTGTGGCAGGTGTTAAAGCAACGATCTTCAGAGATGGTAACCAGGAGGAGGTGAGAAAAAACTCAAGAGGTCTTGAAAGTGAAGATCAGGGAGGCTAAGGAAACTCCAGCAGCACAACATGAGGGAGGTCTGGAGTGGCATGAAGACCATCACAGGCTTCAGGACGACCAGCAGCAGAGGAGTTGATGGCAGCGTGGACAACGAGCTAAATCTATTCCTTAATAGATCTGACACGGCCCCTGCCCACCCCCACCCCCAACCTTTCTCTGCTGTCTGCCTGCCTGCAGCCACTGCACTGCCCCCTCCTCACAGCCCACCATCTTCAGGTGAGGGTCCTTCGCACCCCCCCTCCTCTGGTTCCCTGTCTTACAGCCTTCTCTTAAGACCCTGGCACACCAAGCAGACCGTCGGTCCGATGGTGAGCGGTCGTTGCCCTAGTCTTTACAGTGTGTCCAGCTCCGTCACTACCCATCGGCCCCAGTTGGCCTTTATTTGGCTGATTCCACATGTTGAATCGTAGGATCCGTTGCAGTTGGGTGTATGAATCTCTCTGGCTGCTCAGCTCAGCGAAACAGGAGAGCCAGTGCACGAGAAGAAATACGTAAGCGCCTCTTCTCTTCTTGTTCCACTAATAAAAGACCAAGAGCTGACGACGCCATTTTCACTTTTTTATCAGACGTTATTCTCCATTAGAAGTTCCTAAAGCGGTGAGAGAATTGTCTTCTCGTATCAAAACAACGGTTTATTTATCCGCGTTCTTCCTCGTCCTCTTTCGGTTTCCCCTTTTTTGGAATGATGATTACAGTCTACCGCCCCCCGCTGGCATGAAGAGTTATTGCCTCTCTCTCATGTGCAGAACGTACGTGGTGGTTTGGCCGTTAACTGCAGTCTTTGAGGTGTGTTCATTAAGTATTTCTGATTCTGATTGTTGCTGTGTTGAACTTTTCCTCTGGACGGGGGAAAGTTCTTAAGAAGGTCAGAGGTCATTCCGCTCTAATCTCTCTGCTGGTGTTAATCCAGACCACTGGGCTGGATTATATGTGGATTATATCAGGCTGATGTGTTAATCACAGCAGGTCAGTGTGAGGTCAGAACTGTGGCAGAGTTTCTGTGTGAAAACCTGCAGATTAACAGCAGGAACAATGAGCTGCTCTGTGACGGAGAAAGAGACCATTCAAAGAGTGTATATGTGAGGAAATGCACACACACACACACACACACACACACACACACACACACACACACACACATAGGCTTGTTTAGGGCCTTCATACAGTGTGCATGTGGAGGACAGAGAGGAGAAGTGTCAGTCTAAGGCTCCACGTCTCTTCGGGGGATGAAACACTTGGATTGTAATGACTGAGTGTGTGTGTGTGTGTGTGTGTGTGTGTGCTGCTGCAGGACGTCAGAGTGTTTCATGAAGACATGACAGCACCGACTCTACACAGAGACACAAAGGTTCTATAAAAGAGATTTTATTTCTAATAAACATGAATAGATGAACATGTTGGACGTTTTGAAGATCTAAACATTCACACAAACTGCTGAGGCTGAAGGAACAGGAAGCATTGAACAAACTGTCGAACATTCAGATTCAAACACCAAACTCTCAGAGGACACATACATTGTATGTGTTAATAATTTGTTTGTCAGGACTCACTACACTGTTCACAGATCAGCCGTCTGTTTAAAGACCTCTGCTCTACAAAGTGAATTTACATTAAAGTACAAAGTGCAAATACTAAGTTTTCCTCGCCGCCCACGGGGGAGGGCCCAACGCAGCCGGCTTCAGCCCTGTTTCCTCGACGGGTTCTGAGGACAGATTCAAGAGGAAATCTTTATTAACAGCCTGTCTGATGAACAAACATATTCATGTTTATAACTTTATTAACAGTCTATCTGATGAACAGACATATTCATGTTTATAACTTTATTAACAGTCTGTCTGATGAACAGAGACATATTCATGTTTATAACTTTATTAACAGTCTGTCTGATGAACAGAGACATATTAATGTTTATAACTTTATTAACAGCCTGTCTGATGAACAAACATATTCATGTTTATAACTTTATTAACAGTCTATCTGATGAACAGACATATTCATGTTTATAACTTTATTAACAGTCTGTCTGATGAACAGAGACATATTAATGTTTATAACTTTATTAACAGCCTGTCTGATGAACAGAGACATATTAATGTTTATAACTTTATTAACAGTCTGTCTGATGAACAGACATATTCAGGTTTATAACTTTATTAACAGCCTGTCTGATGAACAGACATATTCATGTTTATAACTTTATTAACAGTCTGTCTGATGAACAGACATATTCATGTTTATAACTTTATTAACAGTCTATCTGATGAACAGACATATTCAGGTTTATAACTTTATTAACAGTCTGTCTGATGAACAGAAATATTAATGTTTATAACTTTATTAACAGCCTGTCTGATGAACAGAGACATATTAATGTTTATAACTTTATTAACAGCCTGTCTGATGAACAGACATATTAACGTTTATAACTTTATTAACAGTCTGTCTGATGAACAGACATATTAACATTTATAACTTTATTAACAGTCTGTCTGATGAACAGAGGCATATTAACGTTTATAACTTTATTCACAGTCTGTCTGATGAACAGAGACATATTAACGTTTATAACTTTATTAACAGCCTGTCTGATGAACAGAGGCATATTAACATTTATAACTTTATTAACAGTCTGTCTGATGAACAGAGGCATATTAACATTTATAACTTTATTAACAGTCTGTCTGATGAACAGAGGCATATTAACATTTATAACTTTATTAACAGTCTGTCTGATGAACAGAGGCATATTAACGTTTATAACTTTATTAACAGTCTGTCTGATGAACAGACATATTCATGTTTATAACTTTATTAACAGTCTGTCTGATGAACAGAGACATATTCATGTTTATAACTTTATTAACAGTCTGTCTGATGAACAGAGACATATTAATGTTTATAACTTTATTAACAGCCTGTCTGATGAACAAACATATTCATGTTTATAACTTTATTAACAGTCTATCTGATGAACAGACATATTCATGTTTATAACTTTATTAACAGTCTGTCTGATGAACAGAGACATATTAATGTTTATAACTTTATTAACAGCCTGTCTGATGAACAGAGACATATTAATGTTTATAACTTTATTAACAGTCTGTCTGATGAACAGACATATTCAGGTTTATAACTTTATTAACAGCCTGTCTGATGAACAGACATATTCATGTTTATAACTTTATTAACAGTCTGTCTGATGAACAGACATATTCATGTTTATAACTTTATTAACAGTCTATCTGATGAACAGACATATTCAGGTTTATAACTTTATTAACAGTCTGTCTGATGAACAGAAATATTAATGTTTATAACTTTATTAACAGCCTGTCTGATGAACAGAGACATATTAATGTTTATAACTTTATTAACAGCCTGTCTGATGAACAGACATATTAACGTTTATAACTTTATTAACAGTCTGTCTGATGAACAGACATATTAACATTTATAACTTTATTAACAGTCTGTCTGATGAACAGAGGCATATTAACGTTTATAACTTTATTCACAGTCTGTCTGATGAACAGAGACATATTAACGTTTATAACTTTATTAACAGCCTGTCTGATGAACAGAGGCATATTAACATTTATAACTTTATTAACAGTCTGTCTGATGAACAGAGGCATATTAACATTTATAACTTTATTAACAGTCTGTCTGATGAACAGAGGCATATTAACATTTATAACTTTATTAACAGTCTGTCTGATGAACAGAGGCATATTAACGTTTATAACTTTATTAACAGTCTGTCTGATGAACAGACATATTAACGTTTATAACTTTATTAACAGTCTATCTGATGAACAGACATATTAACATTTATAACTTTATTAACAGTCTGTCTGATGAACAGACATATTAACGTTTATAACTTTATTAACAGTCTGTCTGCGTTATTTTACTCATGAGAGGAACAGATCACTCACCGGTTTACTGGGAGATAAACTTTCTCCTGGTTTGGCTCCTGTGACACAAACATTCAAAGATAAAGGACAACGAGTGAGACAGTGTGTTCTGTTTGAAGGGATTAAAAGAGCGTGTGTGTGTGCATGTTTTGTGTAGAAATTGTGTGAGTGAGCTGACCATCTTCCTTTGTGACCCCCAGGCAGCCAATCAGCTCATGCAGAGACAGCGCCTTGTCGTTACTAACGTCGCAGTACTCCACAAACTTCTTAACACACTTCTTGGGCTTTGCCTTCTTCCTCAAGAATCGTTTGAACGGTTTGATTTCCTTCTTCCCGATGTCTCCGCTTGAGTTCCTGTCCAGCTGGCTGAAGTACCAGTGCACCACCCGTTCCTCCAGCGTGTGGGCGGGGTCAGGCTCCGCCATCCTGGAGACACACATCAGTTCATCAGCTGACAAAGACCCTCATTACTCAGCCCATCACTCTGTCACTCCATCACTACATCACTCCATCACTCCATCACTCTGTCACTCTGTCACGACATCACTACATCACTCCATCACTACATCACTCTGTCACTACATCACTTCATCACTCCATCACTACATCACTCCATCACTCTGTCACGACATCACTACATCACTCTGTCACTACATCACTTCATCACTCCATCACTTCATCACTCCATCACTCTGTCACTCCATCACTACATCACTCCATCACTCTGTCACTGTCACTCCATCACTCCATCACTACATCACTCCATCACTCTGTCACTCCATCACTCCATCACTCCATCACTCTGTCACTCCATCACTACATCACTCCATCACTCTGTCACTCCATCACTCCATCACTCCATCACTCTGTCACTGTCACTTCATCACTCCATCACTCCATCACTCTGTCACTCTGTCACTCCATCACTACATCACTCCATCACTCCATCACTCTGTCACTCTGTCACGACATCACTACATCACTCCATCACTACATCACTCTGTCACTCCATCACTCCATCACTCTGTCACTCTGTCACGACATCACTACATCACTCTGTCACTACATCACTTCATCACTCCATCACTCCATCACTCTGTCACTCTGTCACTGTCACTCCATCACTCCATCACTACATCACTCCATCACTCTGTCACTCCATCACTCCATCACTCCATCACTCCATCACTCTGTCACTGTCACTTCATCACTCCATCACTCCATCACTCTGTCACTGTCACTTCATCACTCCATCACTACATCACTCCATCACTCCATCACTCTGTCACTCCATCACTCCATCACTCCATCACTCTGTCACTCCATCACTCCATCACTCTGTCACTGTCACTTCATCACTCCATCACTCCATCACTCTGGCACTCCATCACTACATCACTCCGTCACTGTCACTTCATCACTCCATCACTCCATCACTCCATCACTCTGTCACTCCATCACTCCATCACTCCATCACTCTGTCACTCCATCACTCTGTCATTACATCACTTCATCACTCCATCACTACATCATACTGTCACTACATAACTACATCACTCCATCACTCCATCACTCTGTCACTCCATCATTCCATCACTCCATCTCTACATCTCTACATCACTACATCACTCTGTCACTAACATCACTCTGTCACTCCATCACTCCATCACTCTGTCACTACATAACTACATCACTCCATCACTCTGTCACTCCATCACTCTGTCACTCCATCACTCCATCTCTACATCTCTACATCACTACATCACTCCATCACTCTATCACTCATCACTCTGTCAATCAGTGATATTTTATTGGACTGAACCAATCAGTGAACAGTGATTACAGATGATGATGGTCTGATGGTCTTACCTTCCGGCGGATGCTGGATCTGTGACGGCATGCACCATATCTGTGGAAAGTGCGTCGAGCACGCTCGTCAGGAACTCTGTTTTCTTCGACCCAGGACATCCTGAAAAGAAAGCACAGATACCTGAGAGAGGGTTTGCAGGTGAGTATTAAGAGGTCAACATGGAGAAAAGAGAAGGTGTGGAACATTCATTCTGCAGGTAACAACATCAGAGAGGAATGCTGTGTCACAGGTGGACTTGTAAATGTATATGGAGCTTTAACGTGAAGAGGAGGAAACACAGCTAACAGGCGTCTCAGTGTTTCCTCCCACTCATAAAGAACTTACCTTCAGGAGGAAGGACATACCTGCCAATCATCCCAGCAAATCATAGCTGCCACTCAGACCTGCCATTCACGTCTACCAATCATCCTGAGGTTGTTTCTAACAATCAGAGTTTGGAAACTGTTAATGAACAAATGACAGGCCCTGAAGTATTATCAAACCTGAGACATACTGCCTGAAACATCCCCTCAGACATCACACCCAAGACATCACAACAGAAACCTCCTACGTGAGACATCACACCTGAGACCTCCCCCCTGAGACATACCACCTGAGACATTCCACTTGAGACAACACAGCTGAGACACCACACCTGAGACATCGCACCTGAGACGTCCCAACTGAGACATCCCACCTGAGGCCTCCCACCTTAGACATCAGCCCTGAGACACCACACCTGAGACATCCCACCTGAGAAACCACACCTTAGACATCAGCCCTGAGACACCACACCTGAGACACCACACCTTAGACATCACACCTGAGACATCCCAACTGTGACGTCACACCTGGGACATCACACCTGAGACATCCCAACTGTGACGTCACACCTGGGACATCCCACCTGAGACATCCCACCTTTGACACCACAACTGAGACATCCCATCTGAAAAAACACACCTGAGACACCACACCTGAGACACCACACCTTAGACATCACACCTGAGACATCCCCAACTGACAATCACACCTGAGACATCCGACCTTTGACACTACACCTGGGAGATCTCACCTAAGACAACACACCTTAAACAAAAGACCTGAGACCTCCCACCTGAGACAACACACCTTAGGCACCTAGGACACCACACCTGAGACATCATATCTAAGACAACACACCTGAGGCACCAGAGACATCACATCTTAGACATCCCACCTGGGACATCCCAACTGTGACGTCACACCTGGGACATCGCACCTGAGACATCCCACCTTTGACACCACACCTGAGACATCCCACTTGAGACAACACACCTGAGGCACTTGAGACATCACATCTTAGACATCCCACCTGAGACATCCCACCTGAGACATCCCACCTTTGACACCACACCTGAGAGATCCCACCTGAGACATCCCACCTGAGACATCCCACCTGAGACAACACACCTGAGGCACCTGAGACATCACATCTTAGACATCCCACCTGGGACATCACACCTGAGACATCCCACCTTTGACACCACACCTGAGACATCCCACCTGAGACAACACATCTGAGGCACCTGGGACATCACAGCTGAGACATCCCACCTGAGACATCACATCTTAGACATCCCACCTGAGACAACACACCTGAGACATCCCACCTTTGACACCACACCTGAGACATCCCACCTGAGACAACACATCTGAGGCACCTGGGACATCACAGCTGAGACATCCCACCTGAGACATCACATCTTAGACATCCCACCTGAGACAACACACCTGAGACATCCCACCTTTGACACCACACCTGAGACATCCCACCTGAGACAACACATCTGAGGCACCTGGGACATCACAGCTGAGACATCCCACCTGAGACATCACATCTTAGACATCCCACCTGGGACATCACACCTGAGACATCCCACCTTTGACACCACACCTGAGACATCCCACCTGAGACAACACATCTGAGGCACCTGGGACATCACAGCTGAGACATCCCACCTGAGACATCACATCTTAGACATCCCACCTGAGACAACACACCTGAGGCACCTGGGACATCACACCTGAGACATCCCACCTGTGACATCACACCTGAGACATCCTACCTTTGACACCACGCCTGAGACACCACACCTGAGACATCCCACCTGAGAAAACACACCTGAGACACTACACCTGAGAAACCACACCTTAGACATCACACCTGAGACATCCCCAACTGACAATCACACCTGAGACGTCCCACCTTTGACACCACAACTGAGACACCACACCTGAGACATACCACCTGAGAAACCACACCTGAGACATCACACCTGAGACATCCCCAACTGACAATCACACCTGAGACATCCCAACTGTGACGTCACACCTGGGACATCACACCTGAGACATCCCACCTGTGACATCACAACTGAGACACCACACCTGAGACATCCCACCTGAGAAAACACACCTGAGAAACCACACCTGAGACATCCCCAACTGACAATCACACCTGAGACATCCCACCTTTGACACCACACCTGAGACATCCCACCTGAGACAACACACCTTAGGCACCTGAGACATCCCATCTAAGACAACACACCTGAGGCACCTGAGACATCACATCTTAGACATCCCACCTGAGACATCCCACCTGAGACATCCCACCTGAGACAACACACCTGAGGCACCTGAGACATCACACCTAAGACATCAGACCTGAGACATCCCAACTGAGACAACACACATGAGGCACCTGAGACATCACATCTTAGACATCCCACCTGAGACATCCCACCTTTGACATCACATCTGAGACATCCCAACTGTGACGTCACACCTGGGACATCCCACCTGAGACATCCCAACTGTGACGTCACACCTGGGACATCCCACCTGAGACATCCCACCTTTGACACCACAACTGAGACACCACACCTGAGACATCCCACCTGAAAAACACACCTGAGACACCACACCTGAGACACCACACCTTAGACATCACACCTGAGACATCCCCAACTGACAATCACACCTGAGACATCCCACCTTTGACACTACACCTGGGACATCCCACCTAAGACAACACACCTTAAACAAAAGACCTGAGACCTCCCACCTGGGACATCCCAACTGTGATGTCACACCTGGGACATCACACCTGAGACATCCCACCTTTGACACCACACCTGAGACATCCCACTTGAGACAACACACCTGAGGCACTTGAGACATCACATCTTAGACATCCCACCTGAGACATCCCACCTTTGACACCACACCTGAGACATCCCACCTGAGACATCCCACCTGAGACATCCCACCTGAGGCACCTGAGACATCACATCTTAGACATCCCACCTGGGACATCCCACCTGTGACATCACACCTGAGACATCCTACCTTTGACACCACGCCTGAGACACCACACCTGAGACATCCCACCTTTGACACCACACCTGAGAGATCCCACCTGAGACATCCCACCTGAGACATCCCACCTGAGACAACACACCTGAGGCACCTGAGACATCACATCTTAGACATCCCACCTGGGACATCACACCTGAGACATCCCACCTTTGACACCACGCCTGAGACACCACACCTGAGACATCCCACCTTTGACACCACACCTGAGAGATCCCACCTGAGACATCCCACCTGAGACATCCCACCTGAGACAACACACCTGAGGCACCTGAGACATCACATCTTAGACATCCCACCTGGGACATCACACCTGAGACACTGCACCTGAGAAACCACACCTTAGACATCACACCTGAGACATCCCCAACTGACAATCACACCTGAGACATCCCAACTGTGACGTCACACCTGGGACATCACACCTTAGAGGTCCCACCTGTGACATCACAACTGAGACACCACACCTGAGACATCCCACCTGAGAAAACACACCTAAGAAACCACACCTGAGACATCCCAACTGACAATCACACCTGAGACATCCCACCTTTGACACCACACCTGAGACATCCCACCTGAGACAACACACCTTAGGCACCTGGGACACCAGACCTGAGACATCCCATCTAAGACAACACACCTGAGGCACCTGAGACATCACACCTGAGACATCCCACCTGAGACATCCCACCTGAGACAACACACCTAAGACATCCCACCTGAGACATCCCACCTGAGACAACACACCTGAGGCACCTGAGACATCAGACCTAAGACATCAGACCTGAGACATCCCACCTGAGACATCCCACCTTTGACACCACACCTGAGAGATCCCACCTGAGACATCCCACCTGAGACATCCCACCTGAGACAACACACCTGAGGCACCTGAGACATCACATCTTAGACATCCCACCTGGGACATCACACCTGAGACATCCCACCTTTGACACCACACCTGAGACATCCCACCTGAGACAACACATCTGAGGCACCTGGGACATCACAGCTGAGACATCCCACCTGAGACATCACATCTTAGACATCACACCTGAGACATCCCCAACTGACAATCACACCTGAGACATCCCAACTGTGACGTCACACCTGGGACATCACACCTTAGAGATCCCACCTGTGACATCACAACTGAGACACCACACCTGAGACATCCCACCTGAGAAAACACACCTAAGAAACCACACCTGAGACATCCCCAACTGACAATCACACCTGAGACATCCCACCTTTGACACCACACCTGAGACATCCCACCTGAGACAACACACCTTAGGCACCTGGGACACCAGACCTGAGACATCCCATCTAAGACAACACACCTGAGGCACCTGAGACATCGCACCTGAGACATCCCACCTGAGACAACACACCTAAGACATCCCACCTGAGACATCCCACTTGAGACAACACACTTAAGACATCCCACCTGAGACATCCAACTTACGAAAACACACCTGAGGCACCTGAGACATCACATCTTAGAGATCCCACCTGAGACATCCCACCTTTGACACCACACCTGAGTCATCCCACCTACGAAAACACACCTTAGGCACCTGGGACACCACACCTGAGACATCCCATCTAAGACAACACACCTGAGGCACCTGAGACATCACATCTTAGACATCCCACCTGAGACATCCCAACTGTGATGTCACACCTGAGACATCCCACCTGAGTCAACACACCTGAGGCACCTGAGACATCCCACCTGAGACATCACATCTTAGACATCCCACCTGAGACATCCCACCTTTGACACCACACCTAAGACATCCCACCTGAGACATCCCACCTGAGACATCCCACCTGAGACAACACACCTGAGGCACCTGAGACATCCCACCTGAGACAACACACCTGAGGCACCTGAGACATCCCATCTAAGACAACACACCTGAGGCACCTGAGACATCACATCTTAGACATCCCACCTGAGACATCCCAACTGTGACGTCACACCTGGGACATCACACCTGAGATATTCCACCCTTGACACCACACCTGAGACATCCCACCTGAGTCAACACACCTGAGGCACCTGAGACATCACATCTTAGACATCCCACCTGAGACATCCCACCTTTGACACCACACCTGAGACATCCCATCTAAGACAACACACTTGAGGCACCTGAGACATCACATCTTAGAGATCCCACCTGAGACATCCCAACTGTGACGTCACACGTGGGACACCTGAGACATCCCACCTTTGACACCACACCTGAGACATCTCACCTGAGACATCCCACCTGAGACATCCCACCTGAGACAACACACCTGAGGCATCTGAGACATCACATCTTAGACATCCCACCTGAGACAACACATCTTAGACATCCCACCTGAGACAACACAGTTGAGGCACCTGGAACATCACACCTGTGACGTCACACCTGAGACAACACACCTGAGACATCCCACCTTTGACACTACACCTGAGACACCACACCTGAGACATCCCACCTGAAAAAACACACCTGAGAAACCACACCTTAGACACCACACCTGAGACATCCCCAACTGACAATCTCACGTAAGACATCCCACCTTTGACACCACACCTGAGACACCACACCTGAGACAACACACCTGAAACAAAAGACCTGAGACCTCCCATCTGAGACAACACACCTGAGGCACCTGGGACACCACACCTGAGACATCCCATCTAAGACAACACACCTGAGGCACCTGAGACATCACATCTTAGACATCCCACCTTTGACACCACACCTGAGACATCCCACCTGGGACATCCCACCTTTGACACCACACCTGAGACATCCCACCTGAGACATCCCATCTGAGACAACACACCTGAGGCACCTGAGACATCACATCTTAGACTTCCCAACTGAGACATCCCAACTGTGACATCACACCTGAGACATCCCACCTCTGACACCACACCTGAGACAACACACCTGAGGCACCTGAGACATCACAGCTGAGACATCCCACCTGAGACATCACATCTTAGACATTCCACCTGAGACAACACACCTGAGGCACCTGGGACATCACACCTGAGGCACCTGAGACATCACATCTTAGACATTCCACCTGAGACAACACACCTGAGGCACCTGGGACATCACACCTGAGGCACCTGAGACATCACTGTCTGCACATCTAACATGCACACACACACACACACTCTGTGTTACCCTGAAGATGGCGGCTCCTGTAGTGATCTTTGGGTTTGGTTGGATGAGCTCGAGCGTTCCCGTCGCACTTTGGTTGCTCGTACCTGAGACAGACCACACACTAGGTGAAACACACAGATTACACACACTCATACACACACATTACACGCACTCTCACACACACACAAATTACATGCACTCACACAAACACACACACACACACACACACATTACACGGTGGCGGAGGATACGAGTCTTGTGTGTGATATCTGTTTGTTAGTTTTCAATTCAACTCATGTTCCTCAGTGATCTTTTAGCAGAGTACAGAGGGGCGGAGTCAGTCTCACCTGGTGGGGTCCCAGGTATGGGTCGTCCAGTGTCGACTAACACACACAGTTTCAGCTCTTTTAACGGCTGAGCCTGCGGGCTCAGATTCTCCTCTGCAGCAGATAATAGCACACCTGGCTGCTCTAACAGGTGGTGACATACAGCCCTTGTCTCAGGTGGAGCAGAGCTTCAGGTGAAAGCTCCACATGTCAGAACTGAACACACAGACAATAAAGTTTTAGTGGCTGTGTGAGCAGCTGTTAGTGGTCAGACTGGTTCCTGTGAGTATAATCTGACTGAAGATGGAGTCAGTCTTTCTGTGAGCCTGCAGGAGTCCATCAGGTAACTTCGTTCAGACAGGTGAGCCTCTTTATGATGGACATTGTTCAGCTGTGAATGGGTGATTGGATGGATGGATGGATGGATGGATGGATGAACGGATGGATTGATGGATTGATGGATAGATGGAATGGATGGATGGATGGATGGATTGATGGATGGATGGATGGATGGATGAATGGATGAATGAGCACTCTATTGATGTAATGGTAAATTAATAACTTTTTTAACAAATAATGTGTTTGGTCTAAACTGGATTTGATTAAATATTTGTTAAACACAGAACCTTTCTGACAGAGGGGAATGAATTCTTATAAACACATTAACTGTCTGCACATCTAACATGCACACACACACACACACTCTGTGTTACCCTGAAGATGGCGGCTCCTGTAGTGATCTTTGGGTTTGGTTGGATGAGCTCGAGCGTTCCCGTCGCACTTTGGTTGCTCGTACCTGAGACAGACCACACACTAGGTGAAACACACAGATTACACACACTCATACACACACATTACACGCACTCTCACACACACACAAATTACATGCACTCACACAAACACACACACACACACACACACATTACACGGTGGCGGAGGATACGAGTCTTGTGTGTGATATCTGTTTGTTAGTTTTCACATTCAACTCATGTTCCTCAGTGATCTTTTAGCAGAGTACAGAGGGGCGGAGTCAGTCTCACCTGGTGGAGGTCCCAGGTATGGGTCGTCCAGTGTCGACTAACACACACCAGCAGTACCCGGTGGACGGGTGACACTGAACCGGTCTGTAGAGTCCTCCGTGAGAACAGTCCGGAACAAACACGGCGTCGTTCTTATGCTGCCGAGCTTCTTCCTGAGCTGAGCGCTGCTCCTGGTCACAGGACGAGGCTGAGACAGACACACACACACACACCACACACACACACACACACAGTTCAAACTAACAGATCGCTCTCACAGTATAAACAGGATCTGTAACTGACTGTGAAGCTTGAATCAAATCCCGATGCTCACATGGAGTTCTGGTTTTGTTGTTCTGCCGGCTGCGGACCTGCTCTGTCCACAGGGTGGGGTACTGAGAGGTGATGTCTGAAAATACAAACATCAGTAAACATGACTCATCATTTTTACATCGGCAAACATGACTCATCATTTTTACATAAGTAAACATGAAGATAAACTCTAGCACACTGTCTAACAAACATTTTTTGGAAACATTTTGGTACTACACCTTCATCAGGCAAAACGTTTGCCCAAATGGGCAGGACATCTTAAACAGGAAGTGGCCTACTTTAGAATTTTGTTAGGGGTGTATGTGGTTAAGTATGAAATATGAGACTGGCCATTGTTTGAATGTTTGATCATCTGCAGAGTTTCTGATTTTGTGTTTGGATTTTGTCTTATGGGATCTTTATTTTTCCCTGAACTGAAAATAATGTACTGGGAAAATATTTATGATTGCCTCTTGAACTTTTGGCATTTCTTTAGATTTTTTTGGTGTATGTGTGCTCTCAAATGAGAAGCTGATGTTTATTAGTTAGTTAATTTGATAATCCAGAGCTGAGGTCATATTGATGATTGGGTTGCATTTAAGATGTCCCGCCCCGTCTAGTAGTTAGACAGTGTGAGGGAGTTCATCTCTCCTATGCACCTGTCTTGTGAAGTGGATGTGCAAAGGTTTTTTTCTATTTTGAACATCTATAAAAATGACATAATTTTAACATCATGATGTCATGATTTGACGATGACTCACCGTCATCATCAGCAGCAGGCGGAGTGTCGACCATCAGTCCCGTCTCATCTGCAGTCAGAATGGAGAAGATTTGCAAGGAGACTACAATTACCAGAGTTATCTCCAAAACACCTGAAACACCTGAGACAGGTTTGCACGTTGCCCAACAGAGAGAAGAAGAGGAGGAGGAGGAGCAGAGGAGAAGAAGAGGAGGAGCTTAGGAGGAAAAGGAGGAGGAGGAAGGAGAGGAGAAAGAGGAGGAGGAGGAGGAGGAAGAGGAGGAAGAGGAGGACGAAGAGGAAGAGGAGGAGGAGGAGGAGGAGGAGGAGGAAGAGGAGGAGGAGAAGAAGAGGAGGAGCTTAGGAGGAAAAGGAGGAGGAGGAGGAGGAAGGAGAGGAGGAGGTGGAGGAAGAAGAGGAGGAGGAGGAGCTGAGGGGTTTGAGTATGATGGTGTAGTGGTTAACGTCCCGTGGCGTTTTCATGCAGAGTTTCAGCGTCCATGTCCATTAAGGTCATTTTTTTGCTTTCAGCATGTTTACAGAGCAAACAAATCACAATTCAGCGTTTTCAGTGCTCAGTGTCCTGAGCATGATTCGTTTGTGT